GGTGCGGTGGGTTAGCTGACTGCTTTTCACTGCACAAGTGCCTCGTTCAAACTCCATGCGTCGCGTGGACTTTCTGTTGCTGACTGCTCGTTGCTTTGAACGGGAATATGCGCAGCTCGGAAACCGTTGGGGGATAAATAATTTCATGCGAATAGCTACAAAAATTACGTCTCCTTCAAAACAATTAACACGCAGGGGTACGTAGTTATGGTATTCGTAACATGCGTAATGATTTTCTCCATGAGGAATGATATTACTCGAAATGTCACCTAGATGAACTTTATAATAACATAACATGGTGTCATCCCTTTGTGAATTTTTGTCTTAAATCATTATTACGTCCATAATTTTAATAATCATTCGATAATGAATTCTTTCAATGCACGTGTCAGTTCAGACATGGAAAAATGAAAAAACGTGATTATAAAAAACGGCTGTAGCCACCTCAACAATGACATCATGAAATTGTTGTGATTATGTGTTAACAACGGACTGCGTGTAATGAATTCCTTCTGTGAGCATCGAAACGTTCTCCTGGACACGTGGTATGCGGAAACTGGCGCACAGAATTCGACGATCGATTTCATCACTAAAGAACAACCAGGTGGTCGAAAAGGGTTCTCCCCCATAGGACATTTCTACGTCACGAAGCTGTTAACCGAAAAGTGCAAAGAACAGCAATTTTCACTCCACTTTGCGTTCATGAACTTCAGAAATGGGGTTAGATTCCTTCGAAATGAGCGCTATGCTTGAACGCCTTATCGAGGAACTGAATTCTAATTTGAACCTGTTCGAGGAACTATGTCAAATGAACATCAAACGAGGAGGGATATGCCAAGTAAACACAATCTCTCCTCAGTTTTTTTGGCAACAGCGCTGGAATCCTTCTTTAACCGTCTGAATTGGGGGCAGCGGCATTAACATCGTCGAAGAACAGCTCACCGATCTGCTCTTTGTCGATGATGGTCAGTATCTTTGCCAAAGATTCAAAATAACTTCAAACAAAGATTATACCGTTTCAAAAGGAGTCACGCGTCATGTGTTTGGAGATGAACATCTCCAAAACGAAACAGACGCGCAGGGGCACTGCCACGCGGATACCCTCTTCATTGATGACGAAAAAATGGAAAACGCCACTAGCTACTTATTCCTTTGCTACCTAATTGACTCCAATAATAGCATAAACAGCGATATCAGCAGAAGAAGGAAGGTAGGCAGCTGGATAATTTCCAGTGACATGAAATCATCACTGCTGGTCAACGAACTACCGATTTCGACAAAGAAAGAACTGTTTGATTCTGTCCTCCCCGTCGTGATTTATGGCTCGGAGTAATGCTTTACGTCCAATGCTGAGGAAAAGAAACTAATGGTGACGCGCAAAAATCGATATGAAAAAGAATATGTAAAGTCTTCTTTCGACACCATGTTTCAAATTCTCTGATTCCGTGTCATACACGAAATTTCTTATCGCTTTAAACTCGAAAGTACGATGGATTATCTCTGCGGCTTTTCGAAAAGTCAATTGGTGGACAGTCGGAGTTTCTAACCCTAACCTCCCCTGCAACTTACGTCCATTCGTTTCTTCATCAATACCCTGGAATGGCCCAGTAATCGTTTGACCTAGAAACTGTTCTCTCCATGGTAGAGACGGAGGGTACGACGCTGAGAAAAGTGGCGAAGAAAAGTGGTTTACCAGCGATCTTCCCCCTATTTTTTGTCGAAACATTTCGTGAGCAATTTATCTTTTAATTTCCGTACTGAATTTTTTATTCGAAACGGTATGTTTATAACAGTAATATAATTTTGCTGGCTTTTGATATATAGCTTTAGTATGGGTGATATAGTCATCGATTCGGTTTAGGACCGTAACAAGGAAATCAGGCGCCGTCTACGTTCGGGGCAGTTAGACGATAAAGGTTTTGAAAATGAAGATCAGCGTTCATTTGCCGAATCTGCGGATACGGACAATTCATCATCAGAGGAATTACAGAGTGCAGATTTGAATTCGTCTGAAGAGCCTAACAGCGGTGTTCCTTCTCCATCAGAAGAATCGCATGGCGACAATCAATATTCGCTGCAACTGCTTGACAGTGAGACTCGTTCGACTCCAGAAGATCAACCTGATGAATATCAGCTTTCGTCGGAGGAACTGCTTACCAGGGATCAGCTGTCTGCAGATGGTTATGACAACAACGAAGACTCCTTGTCAGAAGAGCTATTTAGCGTCGACCAATCTTCTGAAAGCGAAGACGAAGAAAAGCCTGTGGAGGAAAGACTCACTGTCACTTACAAAATTGAAGACCAGATGTTGAGCGGCAAAACGGTAACTGTGAACCGTCTGCGATTGTGGTGGACATATTTTCTGCGGAAGTTAAGGCCCGATGAAGTTCAGCTGGAGACAGTAGGAAGCCACCCAAAGGAAACATCGATAGTAGGCAGATGGTTTCTGACTTGTGATTTCCATGCTGTGTTTTAGGAAGAGCACAAGATCTCGCTTGAAGATTTACGTAAGAAGCTAAAGTGCAATTTTGAGGAAGTGAGTTATTTTGTTTGTGGTAGGCGGATGTCATCCAGGACTATTTTAATTTCACTTTTAGGGTCTAACGGATGCTGAAGCTGAACAACGACTGCTGCTTCATGGTCAAAATATTCTTTCGCCACCTCCTGTCACACCAGAGTGGTTAAAATTTGTCAAAACTCTCTTTGGTGGATTTGCGTGTCTTCTGTGGACTGGATCCATTCTTTGTTTTAGTGCCTACATCTTTCAGGCTTCTTCTTCTGGGCAGGAAACCGTTGAACCGGACAATGTAAAAACCATAGATTCTTTTTTAGCACTGTTTCATGCTTTATAATATTTATTTGTTATTCAGCTGTACCTTGGAATCGTCCTAGCTTTAGTGGTGATCGTGACCGCAGTTTTCCAGTATTACCAAGAAGCGCAAAGTTATCGAATAATAGAATCTTTCAAGAAGTTAATACCAACGGTAGGGCAAATTTTTCTCTATTTGTCTTAAGCATAGGAGAATATTCAATGTACTTTTGTCACAGGAATCAGTATTCGGGATCTAGTGAGAAGATGCGTATGAGCTCTGTTTTGTCTAGCGTCAGTTATACTTAAGTGGCTTTCTTCTTTTCTACCAGTGAAAGCAACGCCCTCTGTTTTTCCCCTTTTTGTTTCCTTCGTCTCTCTATTGCAGTTGGTGTTAATCGGCATTATCGTTTTTTTGCAGATGGGTATTTCCAGAAACTTGGCCAAGTCTGCTCAGCTCCAGTGGCACATTCTCATGTTTTAGAATGTTAGCTAGCGACCACCGAAAAACATTTTCGCGCCGAAGTACATAGGTTAAAAGTGAAATTTCTCTCGAAATTGGTTTCATTTTTAATGTTAAATTAGTGCTTTATTTTAATGTCTCAGTAAGAAAGATTGACTACCAACCCAGTAGCCGCTAAGATTTCGTTTTTCCAGAATATTCCCAAAGCTAAGGGGTAATATTTAAGCGGTCGCGTTGGAACCGTGAGGTTGCCTGATTGACGGAGCATCTTGTTCGCGTCGGAAGTTTCAAACCTAGACGGAATAGTTGTTCTAAATAGATTAGTACCACTTTGGGAGAAAAACATACGTTGTTGTGTGGTTTCCTTTTTTTAAAAATCCTGTTTCGTGATGAGGTTGAGACCGATATCGTCATTGTATCCTAAGTCCTGCTACGTATCATACTCTTCCTTAGTGCTAATTCGGCTTTCTAATTGTTGTAAGAAGATGACAACGGGTTCTCACGACGATGCACTTCTGAGTCTCTAGGCTCTGACAGTTAATCCGTGCTGTGAAAACTTGGGCAACGTACCCTGCCAAGTAGAAGAAACCACTCTTGCCGACTCATCCGGCCAGTGTTGTAAATTATGGTCACACCTCCTTCAAGATTAAGTCTCAACTGAAATCGCTATCATATCATGCTCTCTATGAGAGAAACGGCTTCAAGACTTACAGTCATCAGAATGGTTTTAAAAAAATTTC